ACTGCCCTTCTTTGGGATTGGTATGTAGACTGATCTTTTCCAGTCCTCTGGCCACTGTTGAGTTTTCCAAACTTGCTGGCATATTGAACGTAGCACCTTAACAGCGTCATCTTTAAAGATTTTAAATAGTTCCACTGGAATGCCACCACCTCCACTGGCCTTGTTGTTAGACAAGCCTTCTAAGGCCCATTTGACTTCACTCTCCAGGATGTCTGGCTCAAGGTCAGCAGCCACACTATCTGGGTTGTCCGGGATATCCAAATCTTTCTGGTATAGATCCTCTGTGTATTCTTGCCACCTCTTCTTGATGTCTTCTGCTTCTGTGAGGTCCCTCCCATTTTTGTCCTTTATCATGTTCATATTTGCACGAAATGTTCCTCTAATATCTCCAATTTTCCTGAACAGATCTCTGGTTTTTCCTTTTCTGTTATTTTCATCTATTTCTTTGCATTGTTCGTTTAAGAAGGCCCTCTTGTCTCTCCTTGCTATTCTTTGGAACTCTGCATTCAATTTTCTGTAACTTTCCCTGTGTCCCTTGCATTTTGTTTCCCTTCTCTTCTCTGCTATTTGTAAGGCCTTGCTGGACAGCCACTTTGCTTTCTTGCATTTCCTTTTCTTTGGGGTGGTTTTTGTTGCTGCCTCCTGTACAATGTTACGAGGCTCCATCCATAGTTCTTCAGGCACTCTGTCCACAAAATCCAGTCAACAGTACGATGGAGCAAAGGCTGGGGATGAGGGCATCCCATTTCTTGTGTGCTTTCTTCCGGGAAGCAAAACAAAAACCCCTCACTTTAAAGGTTGTAGATTTAGAAGAGGTCGTCATGTTAGTCTGTGCTAGCATGTCAGGCAAAAGCAAAAAAACAAAACAAAACAAAAACCATTATCACCCCAAAGAGTACTAAAGGGGTCCAGTTAATACATATGAAAATATATTTATATATCTTAGCAGAACTGTAACCATCTTGCTTTCTGTAACTTGTTTTGCTACATGGATGTTCTGCTTAGGCAGGCAAGAATGAACAAAGGAGGAGGAGGGGGTGTCCATCCACGTTTTTTCCAATTTACAATAAAGGTAATTCTTAATGAGAAGTCTGCCCTTGGGAAGCAGGAGTGTCTGACAGGGAGAAGTGAAATATTGCCCACATGCAGGAATGTCTACCAATTATAGAAACCCCTCCCATTTCTCCAACTTCTCCTAACCCCTTTAGCCCCTCTTTCATGTTATTTATGCCTTATAAAAATGTATACATTTTGTATCGCGGGCACGCTTCTTCTCTGCATGTTTTCTGCAGGTGAAGTTTGCGCCTATTTGCTTGCTTTCAGCTGCAAAATAGAAAAACACCTATTGAATCTCTCTTTGTCTGGCTGATTGATTAATGTGTCAGAGATAGGCAAAAAACAGGAATTAGTCCTGGGACCCTTTAATAACAAACCTATATTTTAATGTGAGCTTTTGTGGATCAAGTCCACTTCTTCAGATCACTATGTGTCTTTGTTTTGGGGCCCTGTATAACTTTATAGATATTTGCCATGCAGTTCCACTCTCATGTCTGAAGAAATGGAGTTACTCTCTTAAGATGCCACAATACTTTTATCTCCTCTATTTTTTTCATTTCGTTTTGCTTTTGCCTCACTGCAAAAGGAGTGGCATGTACTCTTATGACCACAGTGAGGCAGTCCAGGAAAGGCAGCTGATTAATTTGTTGCCACAAAAGGAAGACAAACCTTAAAGAGAAAAACGTATGTTCTGGTAGCAGTGTATGAGGACAAGACAGCCCCAGCCAGATGCCTTGCATAATCTTTCCAACTGGCAGAGTGCAAGGTGTGTCAGGTTAGCTGGGAAGCCAAAGCCAACAGAAATGAAAAATAGGCAGACGGGGGTGAGACTTCAGGCAGGCAATGTGAGCACAGCGACCCTTTACAAAGATGCTCTGAGAGAGCCGGGTTTGTGTTGTCGCCAAGCAAGTTGGTAGCTCTTGAGAGGATAAAAGCCCCTTGGCTCATGTCCGGCCTAGGGAGAGAGGCTTAAGCTTCTGGAGAAGTTTGCTGGCTATGAAGATGCAGACCCTTAATCCGGAAAAGCTTCCGCTGTGAGGAACACATCACAATTCTGTTTATGCGTAATAATAATGATGTGCCATCAAACTGATTCCAGCTGATGCTGGCTCTCCCAGCGCTTCCTAGGTGTAAAGTAGTGCCTCAGAGTCCTACCTTCTGGCACCCCTCTGCAGCTTACCCAGGGCTGTCCAGGTGGTCAGCCACATGCCCTGGGGGAGAGCTTGCCAAACCCCCTCCCTAGGAGGCCACTGAGGATGATTCCATCGCCCAGCCTTGGCTCCACCCCCATGAGCTACTGCAGCTCAGCAGTCAGTCTTCTTAAGCTCAACTTTTCCCCAAATAATAACACCCCTCCCCGATATTGCCGTCTTCTGAATGTGGGCAAGTTGTTGGTCAGGGGTTTGAGGGCATCTGCCACCCCTCGCCACCACCTGCCCTTTGCGACACTTGGGCAAGAGGAAACTCAAGTCACACAAGGTTAACTGAGACGCCCATCAAAGCAGAGCCGAGTCAGTTCACCAGGGAAGAGGGGTTCCTTCTGGGCAGCGAATTCGTTCATGCCATTAAGGACCTTGGGTGGCAGACCCGATGCCCTCTCCCCCTGAGCAGTCCCCTCTGTTTCATGTGGGATTAGGAGCTGACCGGGCGGCAGGAGAAGAGGGGCCACAGGGCTTTGGAGTGTGATGCTTTAACCACTACCCCCGCACCATACTCCCCCAAGGAGGGTGTTTAACTCGGAGGACCCAGGGAGCAACAATTTCCGCCCCCCTTTCTTTTAAGGGGAGTCTTCTGGAAAGAGGACAAGGCTGGGGGCTCCCCTCGTGGGGCTGCATGGGCAGGTGTGAACTGAAGAATACGCCCTGCAGCTTCCAAGACAGCTGGCTACAGAAACGGGGACCAGGGGAGCGGTTAGGGTTAGGGTTAGGTGCTAGCAAGCAGACCTTGGCCCCAGCCCCACCCCAGCCCTCTTACCTTCTCCCAGGCACAGAAGGGCCTGAAGCAGGAGGGTCAGCACCCAGGCAGGCAGCATCTCTTGGGCTTTGAAGTTTTGGGGAAGGACTCTCTGGGCACCACAGGGGAAAAGGGTGGCCCCCCACCCCACCCCAGGAACCAGCAGCGGTGGAGTGAGCAAATGCAACACTGCCAGGCCAGGGATTGGGTGCAGCCTTCAGGGAAGTGGTTGGGGTGTGTTGGGGAGGAGGAAATTGAGCAATGGCAATGGGCGTGAAAGAGGGAAGTCTGGCTATCCTTCCTCCCCCGCTCACCCTCCACCACCCACCACCCCAGTATCTGCAAGTCCCGAGACTGAGGAAGTAGAGCCTGCTATGAAAAGAAAAGAAAAAAAAGGGGGGAGGGGAAGAGATGCCTGTGGAGGAAGGATGTCTCTGGGGATCTTCCTGCCTCAGTGTGCCATGGGGGGCTACCTGCTGAGACAGCCTCCAGGTGGTAAGCACAGACTCTTGGGGCCTCTGTGTCGGCCCGGAACGGCCCTTGGCTGAGCACAGAGACACACACACACACACACACCCAGGCACCACCCGGGCTGCTCCCAGTGGGGCACACACGGCAAGGGTTGTGAGCTAGGTGTGCCTGCTGCAGGATTTCCTCCTGGGCACCCTGGGCGGTTGGGGACCTTCTCTTGGCCCCAAACGCTGCAGCGGGACGGCTGACCAGGAGAGCTGGCGTGCAGCAGACAGAACCACGGCCCTGCGTAACCTCAGCTTCAGTGGTCATCCCTCTGGTTCCAGACACCACTCGAAGGGCTAGTTATGGGCTGATGGTCACCTTTACAGCCCTCCAGGACTCTCACCTCAGCTCCCCGAAGGACGTGATCCTCCCAGCCAGTAAAGCCTGGCCAGGCTTTAAGATCAGGGCGGGTGGGGCGGGCTGTCCTTCTGTCCCACTGCCTTTCTGGCATGTCTTTGGTGACGATCTGCAAGAAGGGCTTCCCTACAGAACGTCCTGCTGAGGGAGACTAGACTGGCCAACCCCCTGACCTCCTTCTGCTGGCACACAGAAACCTCCTTCTGGATGGAGGCCACTCTTTGGCAACTGAGCAAGGAACTGTTGCTGAGGACAGGAGCTTTGAAGGATGTGCTGAGGTTGAGTGGGCCCCATCTTCCTTCCTGCTCAAGTGGGGGCCTCTCAAGGATGGGTGCCCCACCCAGGATGTTGGCGCTACTCTGCGTCCCCACCACAACGGAGCCCAAGGGACAGCCTCCCAATGGGGTTCCTTCCAGCTGCAGCACCTCTGCCTGGGGACCTCTGCTGACTCTTTGACCTTCAAGAAATGCGTGACCCTGACCTGGCCTGGGTAAAGGTCAGGAGGGGAGCATAGAAAGTGGCTGCAATCTGATCCTGCAGAGCCCGCAGGGAAGGGGAGATCAGGAAGTCTGGGCCAGAAAGACAGGCCAGGTGGATGGGAGGGAGGGCTGAGAGGGAGGAGAGAGGGAGCATCCCTGGGCAGATCTAAGCTGATCGGAGGCAGCGGACTGAGACATGAGCCCAAAGGGCCGGAGAGGATGGGTGTCTGCCTGAGTCTGTCTGTGTCCGTGTGCCCAGGGATAGGTCTGCAGAGGCGCCAATGACAGAAAATGGCTTTGAAGCTGAAGTCTGGTCTGAGGGTGGTGTCTCGGATGCAGGAGCTGACCTCCTTGCCTTCAGAGCAGGCCTTCATGTAGGCATCGGGTGCTGGAGGGAGTGGGGCTGGGGAGAGCTAGATATCCCCTCTCTGCCCTCTTATGGGAGTAGAAAGGCACCCTGGTGAGATTCTCCCAGGAGAGATCTGGGCGGAGGCAGAAATACCCCCTAGCTAGCCCCATGTACGTGTCCCAGTTTGTAAGGATGTTCGAAGGGCCATGCGGCTGGTGAGGGTGAAAGGAGGGTCCCAACCCCACTGTCTGATGCTGCTTCTGCCCCCTCCCGCCCCACGCCCATGGCTGACACAAAGCCTCTGGTACATCCAGGAGGGAACAGCCATGAAGCTAAAGAATGTGCTCCCCGCGGATTGTGGCATTTGGAAGTAGGCTAGCTCTGAGCACAGCTCCGCCTTCCATTGCCAGCTTGGATGCCTCTGGTGTTCCTGGAGGGGAACTAAACTCTCAGCTCAGGGCGAGAGACAAGATTCGGCTAGGGTTAGGGGGGGCGAGGACGTACACTTGAGTTTCTGGAACCCTAAGGACAAGCAGGGAAGCCTCAGGCTGTTCCCCAGAAGGGCTGCCCTTCCCCCTATCACCACCACCACCACCGCCACCACGCGCCTTTGCCCCCGAGAGATGCCCCCCCTCGCGCCTCACTGTGAGCTCACGCCCACCTCACCGCGACTCTGCCGGCCTGCAGAGAGCCGAGGGCCGCCTCCGGCCGCCGCGCAGCCATGAGCTCCGTGCCAGCCTCCTGCGAGGAAGTCGGCAACTTGGCGCTCCAGCTCCTCGGCGCGCTGGCCCTGCTCTGCGTGGCCGCCAACGCCGTCTCTCTGGTGAGCCGGGGTGGGGTGCCTGGGGAGGGGGGTGCCCGGGGCCTCTCTCGCCGGGGCCGGATCGCAGGGGCTCGCTCTCGCATCACCACCCGCTTCCAAGACAGCGGCCCCTCGACGGCTGGCACGCGTGGGGCAGGCGGTGGAATCGCCGACCGCCCACCCACGCACCCGCTTTCTCCTCGGATGCAGCCGCCCCCTCTCCTCCGAGTCCCCGAGAGGGTAAGCTCCCCTCGGCCGGGCGCGTTCCTTGCGAGCTGGGCGCCCTGACGCGCGACCTCTTTCTACCGTCCAGGTGTGCCTTCGCTGCAGCAGACGCGCCGGGAGCCGCCTGCCAGAGCCCGCCAGCAGCCCAGGTAGGACGGTGGGGGCAGCGCTATGTGTGTGTGTGGGGGCGGGTTTCTACCGTCCAGGTGTGCCTTCGCTGCAGCAGACGCGCCGGGAGCCGCCTGCCAGAGCCCGCCAGCAGCCCAGGTAGGACGGTGGGGGCAGCGCTATGTGTGTGTGGGGGGGCGGGGCAACCGGAGGAGCCGCCTTCGCCCAGGGAGCGGCTCCGGGCCGGCGGAGCTGCGTGTTTGCGCGCGTCTCTTCCGCGCAGCAGGATCCTTCCAGGCTGGTCGAGGGGGGGTGGGGGGTGGTCGGGGCCGGTTTCTGTGCGCAAGGCAGGCAGGCGCCCTCTCTTCCCAAGCCTCCGGCGCGCCTTCAATCCTTAAGAGCCCGGCTCGCCTCCCGCCCCCAGGGAAGAGTGGCTCCCCACCGGCGAGAGAACAGGGCGGGCTCCG